ACCGCTAGTTTCTTAAAGGAGCCGCGCACGTTTTGAAATGACTTGAGTAAGGCAATATGCCCGTTAGAAATTAGACTGAGACACCGAGACTATGTCTGCATTAATCAGAATTTTAAGTCATGTAAACACCAAAAAAAAAATATATAGAGTGTAAAATAATTTTCATTTATGTCTGTCTATTTTACTGCAGTGTTATGATTGTATTTATAACTAAACACTGAAACTATTAAAGGGATAGTTCACCCGAAAATGAAAATTCTGTCACTAATTACTCACCCTCAGGTCGTTCCAAAACCCGTAAGACTTTTGTTCATCTTTGGAACACAAATTAAGGTATTCTGATGAAATCCAAGTGCTTTGCATAGTAAGGAATGCAACTGACACGTTCAAGGTCCAGAAAGGTAGTACAGAAATCGTTAAAACAGTCCATGTGATATCAGTGGTTCAACCTTAATTTTATAAAGCTACGAGAATACTTTTTTGTACAAAGAAAACACAAAACAATGACTTTATTCAACAATTTGTTCTCTTCCGTGTCAGTCTTTGATGTGAGTTCATGACAGTACCAAAGTATTCTCGTAGCTTCATAAAATTAAGGTTGAACCACTGATGTCACATGGACTATTTTAACGATGTCATTACTACCTTTGTTGGCCTTGAACGTGTCAGTTGCGTTACTGTCTATGGAGGGTCAGAGAGCTATCTTAATTTGTATATTCAAAAATATCTTAATTTGTGTTACGAAGATGAACGAAGGTCTTACATGTTTGGAAGGACACGAGGACAGAATGAAAACAGAATTTTCATTTTTGGGTAAACTATCCCTTTAAAATCATTTTCATAAAAAAGCTAAAATAAACACAAAATATACATATAAGATGAAACTTAAATTTAAATGAAAATTAGAAATGTTGCCTTTGCAACTAACTAAAACTAAAACTGAAATAAAAAATTAACACTAAATTATATTTAATAAAAAACTAATGAAAATAACAAAAAATGACAAAACCAAATTACTGAAACATTAAAATTAAAATAAAAGTACAAATAAAATTCAAATATTAAAAAATACTACAATATACCACCATAGTGATATACTAAAATATTAATAAATATGCCATATATATTGCATGATATCATTGCTTGTGGGTGGAGTTCATTTTGTGGTTTGTGTGAGGGCCCCAAGATTTAGTACAACACTGCATCCATGCATAAAACTGTTTTATTACCACATTAAAAAACTTAGTTGTCATCTCTAAACACTGACTGACAGTGTTTACAGTGTAACAGTGTTTTTTCACCAATCTGTATTTTTCCAATGTTGCTTCAAGCTTTTATGCGTGTATGAATAAGGGTTTGTGTATAGTCTAGTAGTCAAGAGCGCAGATCAAGGCCACACCCTGTTTGATCCAGTGCCCTTGGGTATGATCTGTGGGCAGCTCAACTGCAATTACATAGTTAGTTGAGTGCCCGGTGGTTGAGAGAGTTCCTGTGGAAAAAAAAACAAACCTTTTCAGATCTCTGTGGTAAAACACAAACCAAATTGTCACATAAATCACAATGACTCCACAGGATGTACAGTAGTGAAACATTAACAAAAGAGTGTGGCAAATTTCACAAAGAAATGCTCTTCAAATTGCTCACCAGCACGGGTAAGAGTTTTGTAGATAGGACACATGTAGATTCCAGACTGAGGGGGACTGCGGTTGGAAACGGGTACCATCCAGATAACAGCCATCTCTGTGTAGAGCTCTTTGGGACGGGATTCAGTAAGCTGGCCTGTTTCTGAATCCCAGCGTGCCCCTTCAAGATACAGACCGTGGATGAAGCAGCCGATGTCGGGCCTCACAGTCAGCTCTGCTGCTGCTTCCTTCATCACCTAAACGAGGGTTCAAACAGAGGAAATCAAAGAAAACCGCTAAAAGAATAGTTCCTAAAAATTATACACATCATGCTGTTTAGATATGCAACAGAACATCCTATTCCAAGGTTTGACCTTCTCAGGTATGACATACTTCTCTTAATGGTCTATCAAATATCAAGCTTGCTTTGAGAGCTTAATATGGAAACATAGTTGAGGCTTCAAATTGCATTACAGAGAGTTTCATGCCTTGCTGTTGAAAGCAAATTACGCACCTTAAAGTCAAAAGCAATGGTGTCAATGGAGACCGAAGCGCTTCGGGCAAAGTTCTGCAGGGTTCCTGTGAGGAAGGCTTGGGGGAAGAAGAACCCACTGATCCAGAATACAGCAGGAATGCCATCTGAAATCCAGTTCTGCAAAAAGCTAATGCGCTGAACCAGATCAGACACCCAGGAAGCCAGCGGCTTAAGAGATGGATATGCCTTGGAAAATATTAAAAGAAGAATATTATGCCACCCATTCAAATATATCAAATAAGTCTAAGCCCTCAGTAGTCAAAGTGCTAATTCTGATTTCAGTTACACGCACAAGAGTGTTTGCATAGTCAAGACATAACAAAAAAACTCATTCCACAAATTCAGTGCATGTCTTGCATGGTTAACATTTAGAAGAGTCTTGCCTTGGCCTTCCATAGTTCTGGAACAGCGTTGATGAACAGACTGTTAGACATCAGCTCCAGTTCAGATGACATAACCACCAAACCCTTCAAAGCCTTCACCAGATCACTGAGACTCTGGGAAATCACTGATAACAACTTATTATATCTGTGAGAGTGATAGAGAGGTACATTTTTAGAGTGTTTTTTTAATATACACTATTAAATATACACTATCTGTAAGATTTTTCAATGTTTTTGAAAGAACAGTAATAGCAATACTGTTAAATATTATTACAATTCAAAATAACCATTTTAAAATGTAATTTATCCCTGTGATGGCAAAGCTGAATTTTCAGCATTACTCATCATTTTAACATTATTCTTAGATGTATAGAAAGTAGAAAATAATTTTCTTGAAACTGAAAACTTACCTTATAACCTCCTGAACCAGAACCGTGTTCATAGATTCTTCATACATCACTGGGTATTTATTCATGACCTCCTGCACGTTAATGAGACTGGGAATCTTCTCCACAATCCCCTCCACAATTTCCTCTATGATCTTAATGTGGAGAGGGGAAAAGAGAGTGTGCATTAAAACTAAAATGCATATGCATTTTACTTCACTGGAGTTAAGCACAATCCATAATTGCAGCGTCACAACTACAATCAAAAATTAAATGCATGGCTGATTAAAATGCTGCACAACCATGTGGTCTTCTACAATTATAGATTATCTGTTTAGGATTGTTTTTAACTACATTTAAGAGGACATTAAAGAGCACAGTCTCATGCAAAACAGTGTGAATACACATACAATATACATATACACTACTGTTCAAAAATTTGAGTTTGTAAGATTTTTTCTCGTGTTCACCAAGACTGCAGTTATTTGATTAAAAATACAGAAAAACAGAAATATTGTGTTTTATTGTAAACATTACATTTTAAAGTAACTATTTATTATTTAAATATATTTTAAAATGAGATTTATTTCTTTGATGGCAAAGTTGAACTTTTCAGGATTTTTTGAAAGTTCAAAAGAACAGCCTTTTTTAACAATGTAAAAGTCTTCACTGGTTTACATATAAATTTAATGCATCCTTGATGTATAAAAATAATTTATTTAAAAAAAATTCTGACCAATATATATTCAATTTATAAACGTATATTAAATTCAAATAAATGTATGTAGAATCAATATGACACATACCTCATCTCTGGACTTGCCTCCGCTGGCTGCTGCTCTGGGTTGGAGCTTCACTAAAGTTCCCAGCAGAGCAAATGTCTCATTTTGTGCAAAGCTTATGTTGGCATTGTCATGGAGGCCAAAGATCTCTGGTGAGTCGTTAATTGGTAGGCCACGAAAGTATGTCAAATAACCCTGCAAAAAAAAAAAAAATTGATGTATTGCATAACTCTAAACATAGCAGAACACAAGCTAAATTGTAAGCCTGTGAATGGAAACGTTCCTTTTGCACTGATCTGAGATCAGCTTTATTGTTTTTTCATAATATCTGAGGTTAAGAGATATCAGTTCTGGACCTTGACATTGTTCTCAGTGCTGATTTGTCTGTATTCTCCAGAAGGAGAGTAAAGGTGTTCAGGGCCCAGGACAGCGGGGCAGTAGAAATCCTCCAGGATGTTTAGGATGCAACGGCGATCCCAGTTGTCTGTCACACGACCCCCATAGTTTATTTCCCCTGCAGTATACTTCAGAACCTGAACAGTGAGGGAGAGAGAGAGATCAGTAAGATTTGCGAGTGATTTGCTTCCTTTATACAAACATAAATACTACCAAATATAGATGTTTAGATGTTCTGGAATGGTTTAAAATGGCATATTTATAGTCACCCAATATATGTTTAATCAGCTAAGGATATGCACAAAGGAAGGGAAATACTCTGCAGAGAGACATGAAACTGTGTGTGGCAAGAGAACATCTGGATTTGCCTTATATGGGATGTCCTGATATTCATCCAGGAACATTTTCAGCTGGCTGATGCAGATGTGCAGGTCCCCATCCGTAAACTCATATGGAATGTTAAATCCTAGTGGGCCGAATTTCCTGCGCTCAATAGCATTTCCATGGAAAAGGCACAGAGACAGGAGGAGAGCCTTCAACTCTGCTGTCTGCCAAAAGACATACAGAAAAAGATCAAAAGAGAACTATATTTAATAATAAACATAAATAAGAACGATATCATATTACATATTTACATTTACATACACTAGCGTTCATAAATTTAGGGTCAGAATAAAATAAAAAAAAAAATTGTTTATTAAGCAAGGATGCATTAAAGAGTTAGTTCACCCAAAAATGAAAATTCTGTCATTAATTACTCAGCCTCATGTCGTTCAACCCATAAGACCTATCCAAAATGGCGCTAGGGTGACGAGGAGGATATG